TGGAATGCTACTCAGCCATAAAAAAGAATGAAATAATGCCATTTGCAGCAACATGGATAGACCTAGAGATTATCATTCTAAGAGAAGTAAGCCAGAAGGAGAAAGAAAAATACCATATTCACTCAAATGTGGACTCTAAAAAAAGAAAATAGAAGACTAATGAACTCATCTACAAAACAGAAACAAACTCACAGACATAGTAAAGAATCTTATGGCTTCTGGGGGGGAGGGGGTGTGAAGGGATAAATTGGGAGTTTGACATTTGCAAATATTATCTACTATATATAAAAATAGATAAAACAAATTTTGTCTGTATAGCACAGGGAATATTCAATATCTTATAGTAATCTATAATGGAAAAGAATATGAAAATGAATATATGTATGTATATGTATGACTGAAACATTATGCTGTACACCAGGAATTGACACATTGTAATTGAGTATACATTAGTTAAAAAAAAAAAAAAGGAAATCTCCTATCTGAAATGAGAGGTTGGGGACCCCAGAGCTGAGGCCTCTTGTCCCATGGGCAAAGACTGGGCCATTAAGCCACAGCTGTTTCACCAAATCATGCAGTCCGGGTTGTTTAAATGATTAATAACACTATTCCGATCCCCATCAAAGACAGACAAAAGGAAGTGGATTTCAGACTGCAAGAGGAATGATTAGGTGCCCAAGTGGGAAAAAAGAAAAAGGTCCTGATATTAGTAACTGGTAGAAGTTGTCCTAATTTATTGAACACTTGCTGTTGGCCAGGTACTATTAGGCACTTTATAAGAATGATTTTACTCATAAGACCCTCCATGGGTAAATATTTCCTCCATTTCTCAGATGAAGACACTGAAACTCACCATGGTAACAGGCTTCTTTACACTCGAGCAATTAATTGGTGGCGTAACCAGACTTGCCACCAAGTTGATATGACTCTAAAAGTCATGTTCTTTTTACCAAAGAACATTTCTCAAGCTGCAGCTTTTGGAACATTTATTTTATGGAACAATAAGAGACATAAAGTCTGAAATAACTAAGTTTAGGAAATGCTGAGTTAAAGTTTAAATAAATTCCTTTACCAGCAACTTTGTCAAACACACTGGTAATATGTATTATGAATCTCCAACGGGGACGTCTAGTGTCTAGCGTCTAGCATTTTCCAAAGCTGTTTTGTCACAGAATGCCTTTATTTCTGGCATAGCTGAAATCTCCAAGAACTCATGTTACATGGCACAGAATTTAGGGAAAGTGGTACTATACTTGTCTGCTTCTGAGGCTCCAGTAGAGATATTCAGAAAGATGAATTAGGTCATAGGATCAAAGAAACAGGACAGGGAGGGATAGATTGGGAGTCTGGGGTTTGTAGATACTAACTCTGAGTCGGAGA